TGCAGAGCAGATCATCTATCTGTACACCCATACAGCTGCAAGTGACCTAGAATTGCACACCCTGAGATCATTCTAGACCAAAATAAGGTAATTTTTTAACCAAGTGTTGGTCTCATGTCTGGCCATGTTTTGTGAGTGTCTTTGCCCTTTGGATTCCTAAGCTCTAAGGCTGGGGAGGGCTGCTATAGGCTTTATTTGTGCTTCCCTTTGTTTTCTATTTTGCAGCAGAAGATTGAGAATTCTTCTGGTGATGTATAGGACAAAAGCGTAACTATTAAAGATGCAGCTGTGGCACTGTTACAATTTGCTTGCCTTTGAAGGCCCTTTAGGAGGGGTTTCTGATGTGAAGAAATGAGATTTATCACTGATTTGAGAACTAAGCCAAGTGGCAGCTGCCAAAGCACTGTAGGCTGTGAGCAAAAACCTGGAATTGGAGGGAGATATGTTGCTTGTTGCAAAACCAAGGATGGAGCAGACGTGGAGGAGGGCTTTGGTTGCTATGGCTCATTTTCATAGGACTGTTTTTTACTAGCAAGGCTGCCCTCTCACAATTATGATATGTACATGACTGGCTTGTTCATATGAAAGGCAGAGTTAAATTTAAAGCAGAGGACTTCTCAATAGAAGGGCATCCAAAGGAGTTAAGGTAAAGCAACTAGGATCAATATGCACTCACATAAAGTACATTTTATTTCTGAAGTGAGGTTTCTCATTTAGGTCCAAAGCTGCTTGTGATCTGAGGTTGAATTGCATATGCCTTGGACCACTTCCTCTGCAGAAAGAGCCAGGTTATTTTAATGTATGCTGTGACTGATACACAACTCCTTTGAATGTTCCTGTATAGATAAGCCACAACTAACTTTTAGCTTCTTCTGTGCAGATCTACTTGAGAATACACAAATATTCTTCCTCACTCTTTTTTTCTGATGCTTATAACCAATTTTGGTAGACTGAAATGTTTAATTTTAGCCTGTAGCATTGTTTTCTAAGCTTTTGCAGAATTCAAAAAGCAAAACACTTCTGTCAAGTGCCGTAATGGGAACTGGGGCATCTGTACACTTATGTGGAAAAAAATGACTTTTATCAAAGTTGTTAGTTTTCTATTACGTATAGGAAACAGCACAACTGGAATGGTCATTTCAGAATTGTTATTTTCCAGCTGCTCCTCATGTGGCTACAGTAAAATTTCAAGTGGCCTTTCCGCTTCAGCTGTCATGGAGCCCAAGGAATGACTGAAGTAAATGGAGACTGTGCTGGCTGGGCAGCTGTCTTCAGTCACTTCTCACTTAGGCAACCCAGTGCGTGTGTTTGCGAAATGCCACGCTCTCCCAGGGAAATCTCTGCCAATGCCACACTAACCTTACTTTTCCTAATATGTAGTGCAAAATTCTCTGATGGAACTGAAGCTCACTGACCTCTTGGTTATGGCTAGTATAAGTTTGTTCCTTTTTCTTTGCCGTGACTTGTTTTATTTTCTGGAAGAATGTTATGTGTCATTCTGCTCTCCTTCTCTTTAGGTTAAACCCCATATGGTTTTCTCCCATTACCAGTTTTCTAGAGCCCTGATGGTTCTTTTTGTGTTGTGGGCTGCTCTTTCTGTTGTGAAGTACACAGACAGAGCCTTTTGCACTACAGCACTGTCTCAGAAATAAGGCTGGAGTTCATATCATACATCTGTCACTCCTGGCAGTGTTTCTCTATTTTCTTGAACACTCTGAGGTAGATTTAAGCACCTTAAAGTTCATGGACCTTTACAAAGTGTGTATGGAGGAGTCAGTCTGGACTGCTGATACCAAAAAGGAGTTCTGCTATGCCTGTCACTGCTGCGGGGGCTGTGCACGTTTTAAATTGCTTCAGGACGTCAGCAGCCACTCATCTGGGAATATTTCTATTCCCAGCTGCAGCGGATGCGGACGCTAGTGCCGTCCTGGCGGGGCAGTGGCACGGCTGTCACACGGGCATCGGTGTCGGGCAGCTTCTGCGGCGGGTGTCGTAGACAGTGGAGAGAAAGCCGCAGCGCGCCGAACGGAGGGGAGCTCGGGGCCGGCCGTGATGCCGCAAGGAAGGGCCTGCGGTCACCAAGCGGCGCGGCCGTGATCCCCTTCTGCCGAGGGGAGGCTGCTGGGTGCACCCGGGCGCGTTAAAAGCGAGAGAAGCAGCAGTCGTGCCTGCGAGACTTCGCCACAGACGCGTCAATAAAAATGGGGGAGGCAGCGAGACTTGTCGGCGGGAGGAGGCGGCGGGGCCGGGGGCCGCCCGGAACGCGGAGGAGGGCCGGGGCTGCGGCCGCGGCGGAGGCGAGCGGGGCTCTCGCCCGAAGGTGTCGCTCGGGGCCCGCTGGGCCGGGCAACCCCCCCCTCCACCAGCAGCCTCGAGAGGAGGCGGTGGCGGCGGCCCCCGGCGGCTCCTCCCCCCGCCAAGTTACAACCGGTTCGGGCTGGCACCGGCCGCGGCCGCGCCCCGCCCCGCCGCGCTGGGGATGCGGGGCTGCCCCGGCGCTCCCGGGGGCGGCTCCTGCCCCCGCCGCGCAGGTAACCGAGGACGGCGCCGGGGGCCCGGGGGCCCCGAGCGGAGGCGCCGCCGGTCCGGGGTGAGGCGGGGCGGCGGCGGGGAGCCGGGCGGGGGGCCTAGCGCGGGGTGTCCTGCATCGCTCCCCGCCTGGAAGGGGCAACGCGGGGCTCCCCGCGGCGCTCGGCACGAGACGGCTCCGCGCCCGCGCCGTGCCTCGCAGATGCCCGTCGGCGTGCAGACGCCCGCTGGCTTCCGCTGCGCGCACGCGGCGGTGTCCGCGGCAGGTGCCCGTCACTCCGGTGCCCGTCGCGGAGCGCCCTCGGCGTTTCGGGAGAGAGTGCGCCCGTCTCCCCGCTCGCGTGACGTTGGGCTCCGCTGAGAGGAACGCGCCGAGATGTCCTCTTGCCGTTCCTCGCCCGCTATGTGGGCCCGGACGGAAGACACCGCTCGTAACTTGGCCCTTGGCCCGGCGAGCGGGCTGGCCCAGGGGCGTGGGAAGGGGCCAGGCGAGCCGGGGCCATAAAAGCGCGTCCGTCCCGCAGAGGCGGCCGAGGGACGCGGTCTGGTGAGCGAGCGCAGCGCGGCAGCCCTCGCAGGTAGCTATGCGTACGGAGAGGCGCGCTCATCTTCCCAGCGAGGCTGGCTCGTGGCTTGCGACTGGCTTTACCTCTGCCTGCTCTCTGACGGCTGGTTGTACTGCGGGGGGGGGGGGGGTTCCACATCCTCTGGGGCGGTGGGGCTGGGAACAGGTAGGACTGGTTGTGCTGAGCTGACGGACCTGTACGAGGGTGGCTGGGCTCTGTGCTGCCCTGACGGACGGTTCTTTGTGTGAACTAAGTGAGCGTAATGGGAAAAATGTTATTACGTTGTCAGGAAGTTTTGTTCCGGTGTTTTGTTTTAAGCCCCGTGGTACTGCTCGGGCAGAAATGGAAGGAAGTGTTTATGTTGAGGAGCCTCCTGTGTGAGCTGCCAAAGGGAAAGTGGAGTGTGATAGATGTGTAAACCTGAATGCTGAGAACTGAGAGGACGCTTTCGTGCTCAGGGTGGAAGTACTTAAAGACTGGTATTGAAGTGTGGGGAGCTACTGTAGCTCAAACATCAGTTCAAGCCTAACATTGTCAAAGTACAGACAAGCCTTTTTCAGTGCGTTTAACACAATGCCTGTACTTGCCATAGCATCTGTGACTGGAGAAAAAAAAAGCCCCACAAATCTACCTGAAATTGAATCCTCTTTAAAATGAGGGATGCTATCGTTCTGCCTGTTTCTGTCTCTGTTCGTAGCAGTGCGTTGCCAGACTGGAAGAGCTGTTAATCACACAGATTCTGCTGACCTCAGCCTTCCTTGCAGCCATATGCTGCTCACAGAAAGCAGCGTGTTAACAAGCTTCCAGTTGCACATGTAACAAACTGAAAACAATCCTTTTGCTACTGCTTTTCTCAAGATTCCCTTTGCCACAGATTGATACAAGTTTCTGTGCTGAGGGCCGGAGTTTCAATTGCAATCATACAGTTTAAGTCAACTTGTGTTTTGGTGTGTCGGTGCTCATCTGTCATCTTTAAGCTGAACTTTAACATTTCTACAATAATGGTTTGGTATTGTGAGGAAACCAGCTATACAGAGTAAAGTAGTTACAGCATGACACCACTATCCTATGTTTTAACTGTTGTTCAGTTTGTTCTCTAAAGTTTGTTTTTCTTTTCTTTCTATTGTTCAAGGCCTTCATCAAGCAGCTCTCTTCCTCCGATTCTTGTTCTTTGTGAGTACAAATCATTGAAAAGCTTTTTCTAAACACTCTTCCAGTTACTGTTTACCCCCTTTTGCTTTATTTCTCCATTTCTGTCATTTTGAAGTGGCTAGGTTTCCTGCAGTCCAAAACAACATCCTCAGTTCTTCTGAACAATAAGATTTGCAGACTGGTTCCCACCTAAATTATGGTGTTAACAGGTGTTCATTGTCCATTAACCTCTCTTCTGTATGAGCATCCTTCTTTATTTTTGATGATTTAGTACAGTCTGTGTCTTCCTCTTGCCCAGAGAGAGAAAACAGTGGGAGGCACTTTGCATCCCTCCCAGGCAGATGCACAGAATGGATGCCCATCGAGGCAGCACTGGGAATAACAATGCTTTAGCTCCTACTGTCAGCTCTTGGCCATCCTACTGGATTTTTATCATAGTATCATTTGAGTTGAAAGTGACCTTTAAAGGTCATCTAATCCAACTCCTCTGCAGTGAACAGGGACATCTACAGCTAGATCAGGTTGCTCAGGTTGAATGTCTCCAGGCTTCAGGTATCCACCACCTCTCTGAGCAGCCTCTTCCAGCACCTCACCACCCTTATTGTCAAAAAAATCTTCCATGTATCCAATCTAAATCTCCACTCTTTCAGTTTGAAACCATTTCCCTTGTCCTGTCCTGTCATGACAAACCCTGCTAAGGTGTTGTGTCCCCTTCTTTAATATAGCCTCCCTTTAGATACTGGAAGGTCTCTAGGCTGCACAGCCCCAGCTCTCTCAGCTCACAGTGGAAGTGTTCCATCCCTTGGATCATATTTGTGGCTCCCCTCTGGATGTGCTCCAACAGCTCTGTGTCTCTCCTGTACTGAGGACTCCACATCTGGATGTAGTGCTCTAACTGAGGTCTTACCAACATGGAGTAGAGGGGCAGGATCACCTCCCACAACTTGTTGGCCATGCTGCTTTAGATACAGCTCAAGATACAGCCAGCTTTCTGGGCTGCAAGGGTACCTTGCTGGCTCACAGCCAGCTTGCCATCCTCCAGTACCCCAAGGCCTTTTCAGCAGGGCTCTGCTAAATAATTTTGTATTCCAACTTGCCATTTGCAGGGAAGTATTAAATAACATACCAATAAAAGGTACCTTGATATCCACACTTGTGATAATAGGTTTGGTTTACTGGAGTACCTTTAACCATGTACTGTAGCAGAAAGCTCCAGGAGACAGGCTCTTGGCTAACACTCTTTCCACAGGAGAACTTCATGCCTTCAGGGAAGTAAGAAAATGTGCCTTGTTGTAGATAAATAGGCACAAAGCAGTGTCCCTTAAGGGTAAGAAGGGCAAGAGAGGGTAAGAAAAGCCAGGGCATGATAGCTGGTAAAAAACAATCTGTGGGATTTGGTAAATCCTTTTTTCACTAAAAGGATGATTTCTGTGGGGGAAGTGATGGTGATTTTCACTTTGTGCTTGACAGTTGCCTGTAAATGGCCTGAAGTGCTTAGAAAAGAGACATTTTTGCTGTCTATAAATCTGTCATTTTAGCTAAAAGATGTGAAAGAAAACTGCTGTGCAAAATAGGAGTCTTCTGGAAAGTCAAAGGTCAGCTCTTTTGCCGCCCTAACTTGGCAGAACTCTGTTAAAGTTGATAAAGCCATGCGGACTAAAGGCAGACAAGGAGCTGGTCCAAATTTTCTTTTAAACTTTCTATTAGAAAAGACTAAGACTGAAGGCTGTGAAAACTTTTCATCACCTGCCCTCCCTTCCTCCCCATTGTATCAAAGAATAGCAGGACTGAGTTAGGTGAGAGTTGTGCCTTTGCAAAGTTTTGCTATGAGCATAACAGCTAGCATGTATTGTTTTCTAGAGACCTTAAACAAACAAGAGTTGGGATTATTCACTGTATATATCTATATTTTGGTGAGTTTTCAAAATCTACAATGTGATTATTATTATTATTATTATTACTTTTCCCCCAGTGGAACTGTCTTTTCTAGAAGCTGTAACTAATTTCCACCATTTTTACCCCATTCAGGGACAAAGCAAACACTTCTTTAGTGCAAGAAGAGGTGCATGTGCCCAGTCTTCTAATGACTCTATACATGTAGTGTACTTTGTTTAGAGATAGAGGAGATCCTCTGTTGTGTAATTGTAAGGGTTATTGTTGAAAGATACCTTTAAGCAGCTTTTTAGTGTGCCTTATGTATCCTGTGATTTCAGACAGCTATCACCCTGGCATCCACTGTGATCAATGGACAGTTGGCAGACATTTGAAGGAGTAAATCAGAATTTAGATTTGTAACTGAAAGAAAACTTCATGATGATTGTAACTGGAAATACTATATCATGAAGGACAGTTATTAGGTTAAAACCATAAATCTTTCCCCAAAGACCTCGAATGTCAAGGCTTATTTTATGTTAGTAGGTCATGTTATTGTTATTTGGTGCTCAAGGCTGCTGTCAGCTGTTGATTAATTGGGGGGGGAGGGGGGGGATCAGTATTTCTCCACTGAGGTAACTCTGTAACTTGAATTCTTCTGAACTTCCTCTTTAAAAATACTGTTTCTACTGTTGCAGTGATACTTGGGCTGAACAGTTGCTTTGCTGCTCTTTTTCTGCAGGTAGAGTTGCCACATGAAGCTACATTTGTAGGGGGCTGAAGGACTTGCCTGTTGTCATCTGTAAGTATCTACTCCTGAAGTAACATGTAAGCATTGTATCTATGAATTAGAACCAGCTCTTTTTGTGTCTCACTCTGTAGTATTTATTCTTTGCAATTTTATACTGCTTTTTTTTTTTTTTGTGTGTGTGTGTGTGTGTGTGTGTGAGTTTTCCACATGAATCCTTAAAAACTGATCATGAAGAGCACACTCTTGAATGGGACTTCTGTTACGATCTACTCATTTAGATCATAACTTTCATAAAGCAGTCATTTTTTTTTTTTTCCTTTTCACTGAAAAATGTTCAAGAACTGGCACCTCCTCATAAACAGACAGTAAGACCTGCTTATTTTGTTGTTTTGCCCCTGGGGTCTCCCAGATCAGAACCATTACTGCAGCACTCTTAATGCTTAAGCTGTGGTGTGAAAATGTCCTGAAGAAAACAGAGTGAGATCTTATCTGTCTCTGTCTTACAGGGTAAAGAAAATAAAACGATTGAAAATCACACATCTGGTTAGTGAGAGAGCCAGGAACAGAACATGGGTTTTGTGATCATCAGTTCAGCAGATTGCTCCCTAAAGAGAGGGAGGGCAGGTTAGTTGCATGCATGGGAACTCACGTATCAATGGAGTCATCCAAACTCCAAAGCAATTTAGTCTGGAAACTAATAAATCCTTTGCTACAAGTTAGAGGCACCTCTCTCTACATTCAGAAACTAGCCCTAAGAAGGTGAGGACAGTTAGTTATTTAAAGCTGAGATGCACAGATGGTGGATCTTGCCATGCCTTGAACTAATACTTTTATGCTTCTGAATTTTTTTCATACCTGAATTATTTATTAGAGTTATTTTATACTTGTAGTCTTCCTTTGCCTTTGGGCCTGTGTACTTGCTTAGGATAACCAAGGGCATAACTGCTAGTGACCAAGTGTTTCTCTTGCTGTACTGCACCATGTATTGGTGCCTGGGGCCTTCACAAAGCTTCTGTAGCATTCAGAAAACGAAATGTGATCCATTTCTGCTGATGGATGTGTGACATACTAATATATGACTCGCACTGTACAACAGGAGCCATAAATGACTATGAAGGATCAGAAATACCATATGGCAACTCATCTTCATTGCCTGTATGCTGCTTTTTATTTTATTTCTTGAAGTTTGCTTGGCATTATCTTACTTCTACAGCGCAGTTATATTAACAAGCCCAGATTTTAATGCTCTGTTCTGACTCTCTCTTTTTTCTTGTTTGTTTGTTGTTTGCACAGGGTCTACGTGTCCATCTATGCTCATCTGACAAGATGGTGTTTCAGAAACCACCCGATGGGGGCTGGGGCTGGGTGATTGTTATCGTTTCCTTCTTTACTCAGTTCTTGTGTTACGGATCACCGCTGGCGGTGGGAGTCTTGTATTTGGAATGGTTGGATGCTTTTGGAGAAGGCAAAGGCAAGACTGCTTGGGTTGGATCACTAGCAAATGGAATCGGATTGCTTGCCAGTAAGTGTAGATACAGTATCTATCTTAAATGGAAACATTTCCTTTCTAATAGATGCCTTCATCTGTGTGTGCTTTTGGAATTGTATTTAACACAGCCGTAAATGAGGATAGAGCATGAGGAATATTGTATTTTTGTTTCAGGTCAAGATAGGTAAGAATATTGCATTTATAGTTACACTTTCAATAAACCAAAACAATGGTAAAATAGCAAAAGAAGTATTAACCTTATAAAATTCAAAATGGCTGTATCTGAATAATTTACAAATACCAAACTACACTTGAGAAACTGAATGATAATTTTGTTGTTAGGGCTTTTTTTTTTTTTTTTTTTTTTTTTTTTTTTTTTTTTTTTTTTTTTAACATGGTGTTGGCTAACATTTGCATTAGTGTCTCTAAAATCAGGGCAAACTGCTAGTCTGAAATGTCTCAAGTGCTTCAGAAAAAAAAAAGTCAGTTAATAAACTAGTTACTTGTTTTTTATCTCTAGAAATAAATTCACCAAGTAAAGTAGATTTGGGCTCTCTTGCATTTTGTTTGAGGTGAAAAAAGCTGTTCTTGAAGGTTTTTGAGCCATGGATGAAAGTGGCATTAAATAAAATAATTTCACTGGAAGCTTTTTATTTATTTATTTATTTTAGTAAGACATTGTCCTGAAGAGGAACAGCAGGGTTTTGTGAAAATTAAGTACTGTTGCGAAAGTCCATAGGTCCGTTTTGCTGTTGTTGTTTTACTACTGAGCCATGGGTACTCTACTGGTAACATGACTAACTTCTGCTTCTCAAAGATTTGTCAAGGGAGCTATTACCTTTTTGCTGAATCTGGAGAAAAATGGCCCATCAGCAGAAATATTGCTATGGGCAAAAGCATTCAAGTAACTTAATGGCTGAAATCTAGTTCAGGATTCTGAGGAAATCTCTCCTGAAAAGAGAACTGACATTCAAATCATGATACAGAACTGAACAAAAGCCTCTGCTTTATGCAACTCTAAATGGCCAAATACTGTTCTTACATTTCTGTTAGGGATTTATATCACTAGGCAGAACAGGAAGAGGCAAAGGCAGATGGTTCACCACACAACTATATTCAGTCTGAGGGTGTATGAGTCTATTCTTCTCTTAAAGAATTTTACTTTTCTGTTTTGAGGGCGTTTACTCTTATTATGTAAGGATTAAAGCCTAGATAAACTTGTGGGAGAAAATAAGGCCAAACAAGATAGTTACTGAAGGAAAACTAAGCAGAGGGGGATTGCAAGAGAAGGAGTGAGGAAAAACCTCTCTGCAGACTGGAAGTCTTTGGCTCACTCCTCTAATGGGAGCTTCAGACCCTTTCTTCATATGGCAACACCGTGCTAATTTCCAGCTTTCTTAGTTCCCTCTGCCTTGCCTCTGTGATCAGTTGTCAGTAATGTGCTTTTAGGCAAATAGAAACTTCTGTGACTGAATGGTGCAGGAAAAAGGTGCTGTTATAAATTGCTTTGGTGTGGAATGATTAAATTGCTTGACATTTTGACAGTCTGTCAGTATGATTTTATTATTTCAGTTTGGGATTTGAAAGCTGAACAGTAATTTGTAGTTTTAGCTCAAAGAAAAGTACAGAGAAATATTTTAATTGCATTGAAGTTATTAGAGTTGACTGAAAACAAAAGTTGTGTCCCCTGTTCTACGTTAAATGGAAGATCCTGCTGTCTTGTCAATCTGGGATCTGACCTTAGTAGTAACTCTACTTGATTTAAACTTATTGGAGGGCACTGTGATTATCCTAACCTCTGAAAACGAGAATGCTTTTGAGGGTTTACAATTCTGTGATGTGCTGGTTCCTACTGGAAAATTCCCCCAGTACCCTTTAAATTGAAATATGTAAAAGTTTCTCTGTGGGACTAACATAAACAGTAATGATGATGTTGTCCAGTTGGTTCGGTGTTCACAGCAGGAAATAAGGGAAAAATCCTGTTGTTCTTTTATATGAAATCTTATGTCTTGAGGGAGTAATTTCTGGCTCTGACGATAAAAGCTCTTTATTGCAAATAAGGGACTTATGAAGGAGGTTTAGCAAAGACTAAAATAATGAAATTGATGATGCTCATGAATCTGTGCACCCATCATATCTTCTGTTGCTCTCTGTGGGAGATTTGTTCCTCTTTCCTTGCTGTGTAAGAAGGATGCATTAGTGTCAGTGACTGTAAAGCTCATCAGAATTCTTTCATGTTGCGTAAAAAGTGACCTTAAAAACTGTAATTCTCTAAAAGTGTTTTTATTAAAGATCAGCTCATTGAAGAACAGGAATGGCTACAAAAAGCCTGTAAAAAGATACGGTTAATTAATCCTTTTTTTTTTTTTTATTTGTAGAAATGTCTCAATCTCTTATCATGTTAAAATTCCAAGGGCTTCAGCAGATTAGCCTTCTAGATTGGTACAAGGAGTATTTTCATTCTTGTTTGTGGAACATGCAGTCTCTTACAGAAACTGTTTTTCCTGCAGAATTCATAGCAGGAAAGACCCAGTCACTAGTGCAAAAAGCATGTGTTTTTAGTGCAAAAGCAATGGTATAACACACTGCAGTGTTAGAACCTTTTCATGATCATACAACAAGTGAACTTGTTTTTGTTATCAATTCTGGTTCTATCAATTGCAGGTTCTAGTATTACAGGCCAGATGCACAGGACCCTTGTGTGTTGTAGCCTATGTTAAATAGATGATCAGGCTAATAGATATTTTTCTAAATTATCAGAAAGTGTTTGTTTAGCTCATTCTCCATCTCTTGTAACTTTTCTCAGTAGTTAATTGCTTCCTTGAGAGTATGTAATCTTATCATAGAGGTTGTTTAGTTTTAACTTTCAGCTGATTAACAAGTTTATCTTTAAAAATGGTATATTTGAAATGTCCAGGATAAGTGTTGTTTGTGTTTGGAGACTGCAATGTAATTATTTTTTCTTTTAAGCCTGTATACTTTGATTCAGTCTCTTTTTGTCTGATACCAGTTTTCTGTTGTTTTTTTGTTTTGTTCTGTTTTCTCATTATCAGCATTGAAAAATACATCAGATAACTTCTGTGACAGTGAGAGGTATGTCTAGTGAGTTTGCTAGATTGATACTGTAATTGAACTGAAAGCAGGACTATGTCCTTATGTGAAAGACAACTGGCAGTGAGAAAAGTTTCTGTCCTGTCTGTAAATGTAGTTTTAAAAATTTTTTTAAAGTAGTAGATGTTGGTGAGTGCTGATACATTTGTTTTGCTGATATCCTTTCTACAGTGTTTACTCTGCTTGCGTGAGAGCTAAACTTAGGCCAAGACATAGAAACCTAGTACAGCATCTTGTTTATTGAGACGAATTCCCTGGTACTCTGGTGTTCAGTTACTGTCCTGTTGGAGTACAGGCTGTGTGGCTAAGGACAATCCAGCTCTGAGTTGAAAAAAGTTCATCAGCTAGAAACGGAAGTGGGACAGGGATCTGACCAATTGCTTCCTTGTGGGATGACTCAAGTTGGAACTTTCTATGACCGTGTGTTGAAAGAAGAGTAAGTAAAAAAAAAAAAAAAAAAAAAAAAAAAAAAAAAAAAAAAAAAAGGAGAATGCATCAGTGTCATTGTACAGGGCAGTGGTGAGACAGTGTCTACACCATGAGATATCATAACACTGATTGGTTATCATAGATGTGGGAGATGGCTCCAGGGATGATGTAGGACTTGTTGTGTAGGAAGAAATTAAAAACGCTTATGTTTTGCTTGGTAAAGCAGGCCAGAGGAAAATATGCATTATGTTCTTGAAGATTGTTTCTCCTGCACCAAGTGTTCTTAATTTGACGTCCATTTGGAGCCTGAAATTAAATTAGATCCATGTTATACTTGTTAAAAGCAAAACAGACAAAGACCTTGGCACCCGTAGTTGGCACCACAGCTGTTTACGGTAAGCCAGCAGTATGTCTCTCATTCCCACTTCCCTTTCTTGATGGATTAAGAACAAAGGGAAGATTTTCTTGAAAAGCAGGTCTTGATAAATTAATGGACTGTTTCTGCTGGCCTGAGGTTCTTTGTATTAAATGTCTGAAAAAATGGTGAACTTTTGTATTGTCAAGCAATATTTGTACAACTCTGCAAAAGACCATCTACAGAGTTTTAGACAAAAAACCTTGCACATGGTAGCTCCCACCCATGGCTGTGGAAACTGTACAGAACATGGAAGGCGTGGAGAGGGTCCCCAGATTCCTCCAAAGAGAAGCCCAGACCATCTAAAAATTTTATCAAAAGGGAGTGATCTTCTTTAATGAGTTAGAGAGAGATTTCTTTTTCTTATCTGTGTTCTTATACAAACTCTTAGAGGATACTGTGTTTGTTTTCAGCAGGTTTTAGCAATGCTTGTAGTATGCAAAAAATGTTCTTGTGTTATGTCCAGTTTATTTTACTTACAGTTTATGAGCATTGCTCTTACTCTGCTGTTTCAAGGAGCTAGTAGAGATACCAACAGGTAGGGTGGGTCAGATTAATGTGGGTGATAAGAAAAAGAACTGTTGCCCAGCATTGTTTGTTCAGTAGCTGTGAAGTGAGGAAGGAGGACTGTAGATATGAGAGTGAAGGAAGAGCGTATTTGTTTGCAGTATTTTTTTTTTTTTTGCTCTGTGTAAGAACACTGAGGAAGAAAGTGTTAGCTCTTGATGTCATAAAAGAAAACAGCTCTGTAGTGAAATTGCAGACGGAAGCATCTGTTTGTAAGGAGTGTGTCTACAGAGGTCGGAAGATCAGAGCAGTCGTGAAGATCTTGCATTAGCAGCATATGGCTTGTTTTCACATTTCATGAAGGAATCACTGTCACATCCAGATCTCACTGAGTGTAAAATCTTTTATTTATTTAGAAAATCCTAATGAAAATATCAGTGTAAACTTGGTTCTTTTCTGGAGTTCTTTCCCTTTGATCATTTTCCATTAAGGGAAAGCATGTCTTTTCTGCTGCCTCTTCCAGTTTTTTTTTTTTCTAGGGAGCATCTGGACCACTCTTCTGCATATAGAACAATTACCAGGCAGCTGATCATTGATAGGTTGTATGCAGAACACCACTGGCAGTTCCAGTGCTGCCTTTGAAGTCTTTCAGAGAACTCAGTTTTCTTCCTAGAGTTAGCTGCCCTTCTGGTAAAGTGCGCTGGTTTCTTCCTGATAGACTTTACTTGGAAGAAAAAAACCCTCTGAGATTTAATTTGTAAGAGAGGTATATTGTGAGCCATGTCTTCAAATATCATTCCAATTCTAGTTCTAACCTCTGGAGTTGCTTAGGAAACTGAAGAAAATCCTGGCCTACAAAATGTTATCTGTGCTTCCTGTTGAGGATTGCCACTGGGATTCTATTTTCTGTTCATGTTATGATGGGAAATGTATTATCAGTAGAAGGATCCTTCTGAAACATTTGACTAAATAAAAACCTTCACACTGCCTGTAAATCTTTTTGCTGTGTGATTGTGCGTTGACTCTTACATTCTTGAGAATACAAGCGTCCACTTTGAACAAAATCCACAGGGCAGGAGTTCACAGAGCAAGTCTCAGTCCCGTTCTGGGAAAGCTGAATGTTCGACCAGATTTAACTGCTTTGAACCCATTGTGCTTGAATTACTTGTAGAGAATGACATGTTTGTGTACAGTAAACTCCTGTGCAAATACCATGGTAATAACCAAACATACTTTGCCTATTGAAAAAAGTGTTCTTTGGGAAACAGAGTTAAGAACTGTGGAGAGACAGGAAAATGAAACAAAGATGCTTGCTCTTGTGGGGGTTTTCTTTTGTGACTTATTTTCTAGCAGTATAATAATGGGAGTGAGAAAGTAAGGCCTGTTGTGGAAGGGAAGATGGATCTGTTTTTCTTCTCATCCTGGAGATCTATAACTGCTTTAGTGGTGCTCCTTATAAACAGAGCCATTGCTGAGATGCCAAATCTCTTGCTGTGTGAGACGACATATTAATTCTGAACTTACTGGAATGAGTTATTTAGTTTTGTGCAGGTTATTTTCCATGTCAGAGCAGAAAGATCTCTTTGTACATTCTATTCTCTTTTGGGATTATTTTTTGTAATGGGAAGAAGATGGAAGAGCATCTACTTGGACCCTGTCAGAGCTGCTTCTGATGATGTTCCTGAGAAGAGTGCCCTTGTCACAGTATGCAGATGTGTTCGTCGGTTCTTTCTCCCCCTGCCTTCCTTGGCTGGGTTCCAGAAGATCCCATTTTACTTTGAAGCCTTTGCTAGCAACCAGTGCAATCCATATCAGCACTGCAGGCTGGGCAGAGAGCTTCTGAAAGAAGAATATGTCACAACGTAGAGAGAACGTGTAAGGGAAATAGTTTGTTTCAGTAGGGCAGTGGGTAAGAAATAATGGGTAGAAAGCATGCAAATTCCTCTGCTTAATTGAATTATGTTATCACTGCCTAACGTTCTTTCAGTGTAGAAGTTTTTTTTTTTTGTTTTTAATATGATGCAGATTCAATCCTTTATTTATTATAAATCCTGCAATTTTAAGAAACATGCCAATCTTAATTTGCCAGTTCTTGTAAGTAATTCTAGGAATCAGCATCAATCTAACACTCTCAGCTTTTGTTCTTGGCAAGTTGCTCTGCCCAAGTTATTCTGGCTGGCTTTCATTCCCACAGCGTGCTGGTTCTTGAGAAGCAGCAAGTGCTTATATCTTCCTTTCTCATTGTTTCCAGAATGCATGTAAACCCAACTTCCCCGGAAGATTTTCTCCTTTCTTCTTGAACTTTGACATTTTGCCTAGTTAAATCTCAGTTCAAACTCTGTTCTCTTTAAGTTTCCTAAGCAAACAGCTCTCACATAGGGCAGAAGTTCTGACCTGCTTTCCATCTGAGGGCTGTTTCACCTGCTAACGAATCAGTGCTCCTGCCTGCCAGAACTCCTTGTTCCATGGCTGGTAACCACGCAAACACCTTGTCTGCATTCCCAGCTGCTAGCTCCTGTCTGTAAACCTAGGCAAGCACCGTCATCAGCTCCAAGTGTTGTTGTTCACCTTATATCATGTCTGGGCTCAGCTCCCATCTGCCAGGAATCGTAGTTCTGTGTGAGTTGGAGAACCGACCTGAAAAAGAGCAGACTCTGAAATTACTGCTTTCACAGACTCTATTGACTGTGAGGTGCCTTTTTATCAATGTCAACATGATGCAAAGATGGTGAGGGGTTTTTGTTTTGTTTTGTTCTTTAAATAATGTCATTTGAATGTATATCAAACTTCTAATTTCATGGCTGACAAATTTAGGATTGTGGGTCTGAGATACGTCTATGAATGTTTGGAACTGGGGGGTTTCAGAAGAGAATTTGTTTTTTGTGAGCCAAGTCCCATGCTGGTTACTTATTTATGCAGGATGCGGAGCTTGCATGCTAAAAGGCCACACAACAGAAAATTAAGTGCTTGTTCTACAACTTCTGTGAGGGAAGAACTGATCCAGTAGAGGCAGAGTATGGCTGTTGCCTGTATTTTCTTCTTGTTTTGAAAAACCAACCAACCAGGAAATGTTGGGGGACAAAGAGAAGGAGAAACCTCTTGCAAGCTTTGTAAACATTGCTCTGGACGTTCTCAATAAATGACTTCTATTTTCCATAATTTTACAATAATAGTCAAGGCAGGTAATGAACTGTTATTTAATAAAATACTGACTGGCAGATGTTCCCTCAAAAATCAGGGAAGAGTACCCTGGACTTCATGTGCTACATCAGCAGATGTTTCCTCTCTCTAAGCACCAGGTGGCATTGTTACTGTGATTATGATCAGATTTTTCCATTTCGCTTTTCTACCTTTCATCTCATATCAAGATGACTACTGATACTACTTTCTGAAACACTGTTTTTTGTTTCTATTAAAAAAAGTCTGCTTGGCTAAAGCCTGGCTGAGGGTCTAAAGTTTTTGGTACGTACAGATGAAGACTCTTTTTCAGAACCTTCGTACAAGTTCTCAGGTTTGCAGTCACAGTGTTATAGTATAGAATGTATGTATCACCCTACTTTTATATTATATTTTGCACTCTCCCTTCCTCTCTGCTCTTATAATTTTGCATTCCTTGAGCAGAATTCTTGCAAGCTTGATCTTTCATGTTTTTATAACCTACTCTTAAAGAATCCCGTGTGTACTCAATTGTTTTTTAGTGTAATTATATATTTATTATCACAAGGAACATTGATCAAGGTTTTTGTATTTCTTCCTGTTACTGCTATTTACAGGACTGTTCTTCCTGCTTTTTACCTAGGTCCTGTGTGCAGCATATGTGTATCATCCTTTGGAGCAAGACCAGTAGCAATCTTCAGTGGCTTTATGGTGGCTGGTGGCCTCATGATGAGCAGTTTTGCACCAAACATATACTTTCTCTATCTTTCATATGGGATTGTTGTTGGTAAGAAACATCTCCCTTTCATATAGAGACTTAGAGCTTTTTAAGTCTTGGTTTAGTAATCTGAAAGAAGCTGATTCACAGAGGCATCTATAGTCTGGGACTTGAGTTGCCACGGAGTAACTTACTTCAGGGTGGGTCACACAGCCTGTTACCTCGTTGTGAAAGACAAAGGCAATGCATATGTTCTTCGGGATTTAAAAGCAGTTTGTTCTCTGTTAATATGATTACTAGAGATGGAAATACTCATTTACCCTGAGAGAGGGGTAGATTCAAGCAGGTCTTCTGTGGGTTGGAAGCACTAATCTTAAAAGAATAAAATCCCTTCAGGAATTTTGTACTCATGTACTCATTCTAACTTAGTAAATTAGAGATCATTAAGGAGCAGTGTTGTTCTCCACATAACTGGTTTGAACCTAAGGTATTCTGCTAAGGGCATGAAAGTGCTGTTCTCCTGGTGGGAGGGGGGCTGTTTCTTTGCTGCAGAGGGCTGCTGTGGGTGGTTATCAAATTTCCAATTAACTGTGTCAAGAATCTAGACGCCTTGCTGGCCATCAGGACCCAGCAGGGTGTCCTAGCTATGGTACAGTGCCATGCAGACAAAGCTGTATTTTGGCCCAGGCCAGCCATTTAACTGCTTCCACATAGCATAAAATGTGAGCTGGTGAACTGCTCAAACTGAGCCAGCTTCACGCAGATTTGGCAACTGGGATTAGCTGTAGGGAGAGAAGGTTTGGACAGTGCTGGCAGCCAAATGCCACTGTCAGTGTGATGGGTGCTGAGCCAGGTTTAAAAGCATCTCTGTATCTGGGGTACACCACATCTAGGGAATAAGCGGATGTTCATTTCCCTGAATACAGTTTATGCCTTATTTTTCTTTCTTTGCAGGACTCGGATGTGGCCTTCTGTATACTGCAACAGTCACCATCACTTGCCAGTATTTTGACAAACGCAGAGGCCTTGCACTTGGTCTGATTTCAACAGGTATGATTTTTAATTTCTGTTCTCTCTAATTTTTCAGTGCTAACACAGCTAATATTATTCTGGCAGAAGAAAAACAGAGCATTATATTTTTCTTAGTTATTTCCTGAAGTGAAAGCCTCAGTAGCAATGAGCATGTAACGGTCGGCTTCAGATAAATTAGTAACTACATCTGCAGTTATATGGTCATGTGGATTATCCATAGAGATGAGAAAAGGCAATTCACCAAAATGAAAATAGATTATGAGTAGCTTGGGCTGTGTTCCATGAGAGTAATACCAGAGGAAACTTTCTACACAGCTCTCTTCTTTCTCTTTGTACTTACACAAGATTATGGATAAAAGAGACTGGAGATATAAATATAAATGCTGGATTAACATAATCTCTCATCAACTATTTCCTAAAAACTAGAGTTAAAGTTTGGGCTCAGTCTTGTTTTTGTTTTCCTTTTCAGTATAAAAGGAAGATGAATGTCTGAAAGCTCAAAGAATGTTCCAAAATCTCATCCCAATTTTTATCCATGCATGTGAAAGGGATCTTAGAAGAATGAACCTCTGATAATAGAAGGGAAATTCTTTGAAGGCTGCTGAGCAGCCTTCCTCAGTCTTTAGGTTGTGTGGTGTTGCACTTTTTACCAGGAGAAATTAACTTAATGAACCAAGTAGAAATAGTTAAAGAAGTGTACTGTTCCACACCTGTCTTTCTGTGTTGTATTGTGTCTTTGATCCTTTTTCTCAAGCAGTGGTTAGTTAAGAGAGGCCTGGTCAGTACCGTTAGTACTCCAAGTTATGTACAGATGACCTACACTGGTGTAATAAAGGGGAACCACTACTGCATTGTGCCCTAGAAATACTTTTAGTGGCTTTTATTGGGTTTGCAGGCAGTTGGCAGTGGGACTTGATCTTATTTGAGTGTTAGTTCATACATTCAAGTGTATGGATTACTTTTATAAAACCTAGAGATTCTTCAGAAAATAATTAAAAATTTGTCTTTAAATTGACTTGAAAAATCAGTGCTTTGTATTTGTGAGTGGATATCCATTGATTATACAATGAATCTATGCTCACTTTAGCCAAGAGTGCACACTTTACATTGGTAGGATTGCACAAAATGCTTGTGCTCCTTGTAGTTGCTTACCCTTCAATATTTTCTTCTGAGTAGTCAGATTTCTTAAATGCATGTTTGGACCTGTAGGGCTTCAGAAGTGCCTCTGGAGTAAACTTACCTGTAGGCTCTGAGCTACTCTCTTTAAACACCAGATGGTCACCTGCTGTTTGTAGAAAGGCTCTTGGTGAACCACTGGTCTCCTTCTGCCTTAGAGGAGGCAGGTGGCAGCAGTGAGGAGAAAGGAGAAAACAGTCTTATGTGAAATTCTAACAGAACTGATTCAGAGTGTTACTGAACATCGTATCTAAAGGGGTATGTGTATAATTTTCATCAGATACTGTCTGGGTTCTACTTGTTTCTAAAAGTGTCTGCTGGTGTTAATCATCAAATTCTCCAATGTTTTGAAAAATATTGCGTGCATAATCAATCAAGAAACTGACTTAAACAGGGAAGGTAATCAGTTTATTAGATTGAGAATAGCGGAGCACAAATGACTTCTGCATTTCAACAACTACAAAATATGCTGTCACAGGAATGTTAATTTTTTATTGGTGAACAAAGTTCTCAGTTTTGTTATTCTTGTTTTATAGGCTCAAGTGTTGGACTCTTTATATATGCAGCGTTACAAAGAGAGCTTATTGAGCTGTACGGACTGGATGGTTGCCTGCTAATAGTTGGTGCACTCTCTCTAAATATATTAGCATGTGGCAGCTTAATGAGACCATTGGAGTCATCTGATTCCCCTTCAACAGAAAAAGCACGTATAGACAAAGTCCCAGATCAATACTTTGTTTACCATGAAAAAGAAAAAACTGTTGAAGAAAATATAAGCATCCTTGAAAAGGGCTACACTGATGAGAAATGCACAAACAATGTGCCTGACTACAAACAAGATAATATTTTAAATAAGAATGTATTAAGCTCAATAAATGTAAATGAGAAAGACACTTATAAAAAGAAAGTTGTGGAACAGACAAACTTCTGCAAGCAACTAGCTAAAAGAAAATGGCAGCTCTATTTGAACTACTGGGAGGAAACTGTGGTTCTTTTTAAGAACAGAGTATTTTCAGCTCTCTTTTTTGCCATTTTGCTCTTTGATATTGGTGGATTTCCTCCTTCTCTGCTCATGGAAGATATAGCAAGAAGTGCAAACATCAATGAAGAAGACTATCATATGCCCCTTGTTTCCATTATAGGCATTATGACTGCTATTGGCAAACTTATTTTAGGAATACTGGCAGATTTTAAGTGGGTTAACACATTGTATCTATATGTACTTACATTACTAATGATGGGAGCAGCCTTGCTTGCAATTCCATTTGCCAGAAGTTACTTCACATTAGCAGTGCTTTCTGGGATTCTGGGTTTTCTGACTGGGAATTGGTCAATTTTTCCATATGTAACAACAAAGACTGTGGGAATTGAGAAACTGACTCATGCTTATGGGATACTGATGTTCTTTGCTGGACTTGGAAACAGCCTTGGACCACCAATTGTAGGTAAGGTCAAGTTAAAATTAACACGAAATTATCAGAACCCCATTTGTATGTGGGTAGGCCTACTTCGTTCTAATAACAATAGAAAGATGATATAAAAATCTTAAAAACTAAACCCTGTTTCTCTGGATTTTGTTCTGTTTTTGGCTTTGCTTAAAAGCACATTTCATGTGTAAGTGGTCATAGTGTGAATTACATTTAACCTTTTGTTTTATCCCCATGATTTTCCTTTGATTTACAGTGCTGTGTTCTGTTTAACTCTTCACTGATGCTCTTCTCTTTTATTTTCACCCTCAGGTTGGTTTTATGACTGGACGCAGGAGTATGACACTGCATTCTATTTCAGTGGCTTTTGTGTTTTACTGGGAGGATTTCTTCTGCTGTTGGCAGCGTTACCCTGCTGGAATGCCTGTACCAGTCAGAGCTCAAAGCTGCCTCCAAATACTTACTCCTACAAAGTTGCATCTAGTGCTTAGGTGACAACTGGGAAACACTACTTTATGCCTTTTTTATATATTATATAGCAAAGGACTTTAGTAATTTTTCACTTATTTATGAAGTCCAAAAATCCTTATCTACTAGAAAAATTATGTTCCTGTTTATATTCAGCTTTTTTTTCTTTTTTTTTATCCTTTTCCCATCCCCTTTTTTTAAGAACAATATTATCTTATAAAATCTTATTTTGTCTACTGTGCACTGTGTTTTCTGCCTTTGTCTACTGCAATTTCCTCTCAGCCTGTAATGGATATATTGTGCTGTATTATTGGCTGTACTGTTTTTGTTGTTGTTGTTTTTTAAGGGATAGGGAGTGTGGAGGGTTGAAGACATCGAAGCAAAAATGAAGGCCTATTTCTTATTGGAGAAGACTGGCATTTCTGTCACCTTTTGTAGGTCTCCAAGATGCACAATCAGACTTTATGAAACAAACATTTGCCTTATGAGAATATAATGCTATGGCAAGGTGCTCGTAACATAATGTTTAGATTAACCTTCTGACTTCTTAAAGTTTCTCCAATTTACAATTAAGTGCCAATGAGGGAGGAAGAACAAAACCATCCTTCTGTTGCATTAATGAACTTCATGATGAAAGTAAAGATTCTTACTACCACTGCGACTGAGGACTATGTTTATAATTATTGCACTTTTGGTGAAGTTTGTTTATGATACTGTTGAACCAAAATCTTTCAAACCAAGGAATAAACATGATTTTTGAAACCATGTAAAGAAATGCTGACGTGGTTATACAAGTTGAAAGTGTTCAGATTGAACTTGGAGATGTGTTCACAGAAGCCCTCAGGTGAGTGTTTCTAAGCAAGTTGCTGCAGTCTAGCAGTACCAGGGGCATCTCTTGTTGCACAACTGCAGTTAGTTGGCTGGGCCTGCTGAAGTGAGCTTGTGATGAATCAGAGAGCTTTCAACAAAGAAGATTTGACTGAAAAAGGAAAAAATGTGATACTAATCTTATTTTTGCTGCAATTTTCTGAATGGATATAGCAAGAAGAGAAGCAAATAAAAGGGATCAATACAATATGTGTGGGAGGGATAATAGAAGAGATACGTTGGTGAGAATTGCAACACTGGAATGCCAAGCAGGCCCTGAATGAGCTCCTGGAACTGCTGCCCTGAAACTCTCACTGCAGTCCAGCTCCATACGCCTGTGTTGCTTTTTGCTTAACCAAAGGTCGGTGTGACTTAAGGGATGCTGTGTGAGGAGGAGGCCTTTCCTGAGCAAGGCAGGAAGGCTCAGCTGGGCCTGCTCTGCTTTCAGTGCCCTGTGCAGTAGCTTCTTTGCTTCTCCCACGCCATTGTTCTTACATCATAGTCACAGCAATCTCCTGTCCCACCAGTGGCACATCCTGTGTGCCATGGCTTCTTGTAGGCTTGAAGTTTACTGGAACATATTGGGAAGCCTTGTACGAATTGGATGTTTTTAGTTTTTCCTGAATTACATACTGCTCTCTGCAGATGCATGTGTACTTCTCTGCCATAGTATGTTCTTCAAATGTGTGCTGTGATTCTGGCTCACAAATAATTCTTAAGATAAAAAGAAATGCACGTAATGAGCAGCCTTTGTTGTCAAAGTACTATGAAGAGAGTTGCTATTTTTTCAGAGCTAGTTATGCAAGAGTCAGATATCCCTTAAGTTGGGCAGATATAAGAGTCAGTGAAGTTCCCTTTTCTGGCCCAAGTGGGAAAAAAGCAGGTTGCCTTCAGACATTTTCTGCTAGCTTTCCAAGACTCTTATTTCCGTTTGTATTAAAGTCTGACAAAAATAACAGTTCAGTAATTTGGCCTTCTGTTCTTTCCTCCACATGTCAACTGGGTGTAATGACTGTTCTTTATTTCTTAGATTTCTTATTCAGTGCATGTGGGGGGAAAAATATTGAGTACTCATTACATGCAGAAATGCAGCTCCAATTCTAAATTGGAGCTCTGCAAATCAGAAGTGGATTTGCACCTGTAGTCAGCTTTCACTGCAGTCATGTGGAGGTAGTAACATTCTGTGCATCTCAGACACTGCAGTGGTATATTGGATGTGATCAGGATGTGTGTGCCTACACGTTAATATCTTAAAAGTATTTCACTTTCTGCTAACAGTGCATTCTGAATATGTTGAATATGAAACTGATGTTACATTATTATTTATTAGTTTCTGGAAAAAGTCAGCTACAATTAATGTTAAAGATTGGGCAACGTGTAGTGCTCTTCTGCAATGGAAATAGTGTCTATAATTAGGCAGCTTGATGTGTTTGGAAATCTGGCTAGTGATTTGTGACAGTTTCCTGGTATAACATTATCCGTGTATGAGGAAAGAAGCCAGGCTGTGGAATGACCTTATATTGCCACTGCAGTCAGTGTGTTAGGACTGCTAATCCCAACCAGATGGTTGAGAACTGTGCCCATACTAACTGATAAACAAGAGCAAGGACTTAGTGTTTCAGCTTTCGCTTTTACTTCTCTAGTTTTGACTGGGGGAGAGGTAGGTTCATTTCAGGAAATGATTTTCAGGGATGCTTGTGTTCTGTCTGAAAGTATTTACTTCTGACTGGAAGATTTCATTTACATTGAACAATAGGCTCAAATGGGGTGTGTTTTTTGTTGCTGTTTTTTTGTTTGTTTTTGAAGGTTGCAGGATGGGTACAACATGTTTATCTTTGCCTCCTTTGTTTGATTATTTGGTCATTAGTCTTGACAGGCTGTTAGAGGTAGGGAAATATACAGTTCTGCCATGTAGAATTAAATTCTGCATCTCCCTGAATCTTACCATTGTTGCCAGACAGATGTGGGACAGAAAAATTTCAATGCTTAGATAATTATTCTTCATTCTAAAATAAATTAATTGCTTATTACCTAAATTAATACGGCGTCAGTCATGAACAGAACATTTATGTCCTTATTTGCAGATCTTAAGAAAACGTACTACAGTTACCAAAACCCAATACAAATGAAACGACTAAGTTCTGTTAGATTTATAGTCTATTATGTGCCTTGCTTAATTGATAGTTTTTATGGTTAGCTGCAAAAAAATTAATTGCATTCCTTTGGTAGCTGTTAATTTGTTTTCATCATGCTGATACTGGATTGCAGCACTGCGTACTGCCATTGAACAATGTACTGAGTAAGGGCTACAGATGACGTGCTGTGAAAATTGGCTGAGATGGTGTGTAGTATTATACTGACATTGCAGTATTTTTTATAGAAAGATGTTTCAAAAAATGCTCTTTTTAAGGGCAAGTTTGATGAATATGTTGGGCTGAGTATGATGATGACCAGATTAAAACTGGCAAAGCATAAATTATACAGAAATTGGATCGATATCTCAAAGGGACAGGCAAAAGCTTCTGTCTAGTACAAAATAGAATTCTTTAAATTCAAAGGACTGTTTTATTGAAGTTTTGCTGTAGACTAAAGGAATTATGCTAAAGACCCAAGTTAAAGGCTTGTGAGACTGCTATCCAGAAGACTCTCTGCTACAGAACTAAAACCAAGTATGACTGGTACGAATGCAGACCTCACAATTTCTCTGCCTGCAGATGTTCAAGACTTATTTAATGAAGGAATGGAGGTCTTGAACATGACGAGTAAAGGTGGGACAAATGACTTGGCTCCAGAGTCTGAACACAAATCTTTTCATTTGGATCTCCCATGTCGTATATGACCTGTATGTGAACTAGCATAAGGTGAGAGGCAGGAAAACAGTATGCTTGGAGCATAAGACTTAATATTTATGGCTCCAGTCTTCAAGGAAGCATCCTTGGCATACTTTTCTTGCTGAGCTGTTATGCCTCTTCAGTGCATTTTCACAGGTGTTGCATTGTGAACCCATCCAGAAACCCCCTTGGAAATGCTTCTTTTTATAGCTGAGATTAGCTAGTTGTTTTTAAAGCATGGGTTCATGCGTAACTGCCTGCTTGGTAATCAACGGCATGCCAGCATGAGGATTGGACTGAGCTTGGAGTAATTTCTTTGGAAACTGTTATGGTCATGCAGCCTACATCATGCCCGGCTGTCTCAGACTCCAAGCTGAGCTTTACTTTGTCATAGTTAAACTTACCAAGATGTTTTCTTATAATTCAAATTAATGTGTTGCTTTTTTTTTTTTTTCCCCTGTTTCTCTCATTACAAGCTGAAAATCACCTGACTAAACTCTTCCCACTTTTGTTGGTGTCATTGTTCACATTGAAAAGTAAACATTTTCTGTGGTTAACAGCAACGACTTAGGGATGTTGCTGAGTAACAAGACGAATGCCTACCCACCTGTTTTGTAAATGGCCAATGTTCAGACCAACTCTATATTTAGAGATCATATCTGGATTTTGTGCTTTTTTTTTTTTTGTGATTATGACTTTAAAATTTGGTAACATGACATGCATATCAAGTTGCATTGGGCCATGCTGCCTTCTGTAGGAATTAACTTACTTTGCTGTTTGGTTAAAATGTCCCTGGGTTACAGTGGCTGTCTCTCCACTTTTAGTTACTTAGCTGTCCTTGCAAATCAGAGTAACTGAAATCATCTGATATGTTCTGAATTACAATAAATACCATGTATGAGGGCAAGTGTTCATTAAAAAAAAAAAAAAAACAACAAAACTTGTATTATTTAATATTTGCTCCAAATGAAACAGGATCACATGAAGGTATTGTCACAGGATAAGGGACAAAAAATTTACAAGACTAGGCATGACTGTCTGGTGTCTCCATAGGCACTGTTATTGTAGAAAATAGACCTAAATAGTCACTGGGCAGTATGGTGGCTACTGAAAATGGGGAGAGAGAGATGGGGAAGAGGGAATTCTCACTGAACACACTGTGTACCTTGTTGCTTCAGAAACTGAAGGCTTTAATTTGAATATGACGGATTCAATTACTGAAAACAGGGTCTTCATCTTGCCTGGAATGGGGAGAGCTAGTGAAGTTGCTGCTGCCATGTGAGTTTCATAAAGGGAAGATGTCATTTTAGAGGGTCTTCCACCTTTTCTGAGTTCTAATTTTGCTCAAGAACAAGTATCACTAGGGTGCAGAAGACAGAGTTAATGCTCAAGTGAATTCATTTGAAATGATACTGAATCAGTAAAGACCAAAGGTATCAATATGCTACTGGAAAAATATAGACAGAAACCTGCCTCTGCCTAGCTTCCACATGTGTTTGGACAGTGTTTATAGTGCAGGAAGATGCTGAAGTCTCCTCTTACTGTTATTCCTGCTGTTGTTTTTTTGTTGTTTTTTTTTTCAGTTCCCACTTCAGATGTTGTTCAAGCTAGATGCAGAGAGCAGGCAAGGACTAACTGTGTTTTATTTCTTTGCAGCTTCTCAAAGATTTCTTCAAAGCTTCTCAAAGATTTCTTGTGCTGGAACTATCATTTATGTAAAATGGCAGTATATTATGCCAGAGATTATTATTTTAAATAGATGTCCATAGTCCATGAGCTGTATAGAGCTGTAGGTGGGAGTCAGGTTTCTTATCAGCCATGGAAAATCATCAGGAAGTGGTGACCAGGTTCTAGATGGAGCCTCGTGGGTTGGTCAGGCTAGATGTTGCAGATGTTTCTTCTTGGGAGGATGACTGGGGTGGCAGGAAATGGGCTGGTCCTTAACAGCTTTAGCTAAAGCTAGTCCAGCATTCAAATATGATATGAAAATGAACAGATAGGGAACAAGCCATAATTATGAGTATTTTGTTTTGCTTCAAGTTTTGTTTTTCAGGCTCTTGTTTCTTG